CTCTGCCTCACTATTCCATGGGACTTACTTGGGCTGGTAGGTTTGTATTCCTTTACCCTACTGTCCTCAGCCTGTGACATGACTATACCCCTTATGGGGCAGAGGGATATCGACTATACAGGGGGCTGCAATGGGAGGAAACTGAGCCTGAAGGCTCCTTGGTGTGCATACTCAGGCTGGCAGTATCCAAGCTGCTTCCAGTGCCTTTCATTTGACAAAGGAGTGACTAAGCCCTGCACTTAATGTGACTGCCTAGTCCAGGGGTGGGCAGTTATTTTGGGCAGAGGGCCTCTTACTGAGTTTTGGCAAGCCATTGAGGGCCACATGACAGGCAGCCAGGGGCAGATAAGTATTCATTTTCTAAATTTTAGGGGCCCTGCAGGCTGGATTGAATGGCCTGGTGGGCCATATGCGGCCCAGAGGCCGCATTTTGCCCACCCCTGGCCTAGTCCAAGCTATTAGGGACTAGGTGTCCTCCCATCTGGCCCTCTGTCCTCTTGTCTTCATTCTGCTGAGGAGACTGTGGCAAGGCGGGGGGGAACTCCCTGACCAGCCACAGTGCTAGTCTCCCACCTGCCTCCCTCTCCTGCCATGCCTTGTTAAATGATTAGGGTCTTAATTCAGTGGGAGGCTTCCCTTTGAATGCTCTGCTTTCCTGGGCCTATGTATACAGCTCAATCACCCCTGGACTGTGTCCCAAGCCTCGCAGGTGACACACACACGATGTTCCCTCACACCACAACTAATGCTCATGGGTCTCAGGGACTCTCACTCCCTCATTCCCTCCCTGGAGCAGCAGGTCATTGTGCTCTCCCTTGCTCTAATTTTTTACCCCCACTTGGCCTCCCCTCAGCAGAGGACTTATCAGGGTCAGCTTCCTACCTGAGCCTCCCTTTTTGGCCTCAGGCGCCCATAGGCTTACCTGGACCTTGCAAACCCTGTCTTCAGGGCCTTGCCTCACTCGCCTCCTTGCTCTCAGGAGCTCTCCATTCTTGTGCCTGCCGATAGGTGCCCCTCTGCACCCCCACCTCCTCTGAGGCACATACTCTACCCCCTATGCTGTTGGGGTCGAACACTTCTGCAGGCTCAGGTGCCACTCGTCGGCATGCCTGGCCTACCATTCTCACTCCGGGGTCTTGCACCCAACACGGGCTCAGCCTGCTGCAGCCATGCCTGGCTCCACTCTCCAGGGTCTTGCATCCTCCGTGGGTTCAGGTGCCACACCAGGGTGTGCCTGGCCCTCAACTGCCACTGATGATAAGTAACCCACCCGAAGGTCGGGGCTGGGGTTAAGGCACCCCTACCCACCTTTCGCAGGGGAAGTAACTGGCCTGGCATTTCCTGGGGGTTCCCATGTCACTAGGAGCTCTACCAGGCCACCCTTCCCTGGCAGGGTGCAGTTTCACATCGTGTCCAGGACCAGGAGCCTCCTAGCATTCCCCATAAGCTCTTGCCCCTACCTCCTAGTTGTTCTCAGAGCAGCAGCTCCTCCAGGAGATGTTACTTCCCCCAGTGCCAGGCAGCAACTGCTGCCTCCAGCTCTGCTGGCCTGGATCTACAATGGCCCTTCAGAGTTGGGGCAACACCTGCCTCATGCTCTTAAAGTGGCAGACACCAAAGAGTTAAAGTGCCACAGAGACCAAAGTGGGAAATTTCTTATGTGATACCTTTGACTATTCATTCCTTGTTAGTGGGTCCTAAATTTCACCTGTGAAATTCAGAGACCATCCAACATTGTATGTGGGGGCTGCAGAGCTATGTAATCCCCTTCAGCTTAGACCAGGGACAGGCAAAAAGCTATTCTATCCAGCCTGCCAGGAAATTTCATCCGGCCCACGGGTGCCCACCAGTTAACTACCCCATCCAAGCTGCGTGCTTCATTCCCACCCTCGCCCAGCCCAGCCAGCGCGCACAGCTTCCAGGTGGGGCTGCTGCTGCCACTGCTGCAGCAGCCAAGGGACTTGCTTACCTTCCCTGGCCTCCAGCAGCTCCTCCTCCTGTCTCTGCTGCAGCGCTGGCTCCTGGAAGCAGGTGGGGCTGCAGCTGAGTGGAAGCGTGAAGTGTAGGACGGGGGAGTGTGGAGCCTGTGCCCAGGGGAACGACAGAAGCACAGAGCTTGGGTGGGCAGGGTGTGGGCTTGTGGGGTGTGATGGAAGGTGGGGGATCCCCCCATATACTCCCCTCCCCCCATGGTGCACAGCCTCTCAAGGTGCTCATGGCCTGCACAGGTGCTCCTACCTGGTGGCACACTGTTTCAGCCAGCTCCACAGCTGTAGCAACACTCCAGCAAATAATAAGAAAACTGTAGTACCATAAGGTAACTATTAAGTCTGTCTTTAGAGACAACGTCAGAGGCTAACATTGGATTCTGGCTGTTACCGTATTTTTCAGGTGGATCAAGTGCACAGAGAAGCTTCTAATTGGAAATTACTGGGTAAAAAGGTTCCCATTTTGATGCACTGCTTCTCTCCTCATTCATCACTAATGGAGGGAGTAAGCAGGAATCTCAAAAATGTGGAGGCACTGGTAGGAGTTTCCCAGTATAGGCCATGTGCTTTGCCATTTAAGGAATTACATGGGAAGCAACCCAAGTACTCCTGGGGGTACTTGGGAAGGCCCCAGGGGATACGCAGCAGCACGGAGAAGTGGGGGTACTTGGGAAGCTTGCATGTTGCTGCACATTTGGCCACCAGGGGACCACCCCCAACTCCACGTCTGGAAGGGGGTACCCACCAGAAGGGGCACTTTCCTTAAAAAAGGTTGAAAACCCCTGCACTAGAGAAATGTTCAGCGGCCCAGTTACAGCCAGAGCATGGCTCCTCCAGCTCTGGCCCTGTAGCCCAGCTACATGTTACTTCATCCCAAAAGCTGGCTGATGATCAGGTACAGCAAAAAGCAATTGTGCTTCAGGTGTATGTTAGTGAGCCAGCTGGAACTGTTGCTTTGGAGTCAGTTATTAGGATGGACCCCTTACAGCAGTGGTTCTCAACCTTTATAGACTTGGCACCCCTCAGAAAATGCCAGTTCTCTTTCATGGTTTTTTTTTATTATATGAAAATAACAGAGCAATTCTTCCATTGCAAAGAACTAAGACCACAAGAGATCTGAAAGTTTTTTTGATCTTAATGATTCCTATCTGAAATCTCTGTTTATTTTATTAATCATATTTGCATACCTAACAGTGCTAATACCGTGCAGTACCCTACAGCACCCCTAAAAGGATCTCAGAAAACCCTGGTTTGGAGCAGTGGTTTCTAAATCTTTTCAGGGTCAAGACACCCCTCCCTGTCCATACATGCCAGCTTTCAGTTTTGGGGGGTTTTTTGCCTACAAAAAAATAAGAGCAGTGTGTTCTGCTGCAGGGAACTCAGAAAGACCACAACTATAGGTTTCCATTTGAAATTTTGGGCTTAGCAAATCACATTTGGAACCCTAACAGTACTGATGGCACCCCACAATACCCTTGACAGGATCTTGGTTTAGAGCAGTGGTTCTCAGCCTTTTCAGACTCAGCACACCCCTTGGTACAGGCCAGCTTTTAGTTTTCACTTTTTTTTTTGCCTTTAGAAAAACAGGCAAGAGCACTGTGTTTTGTTATAGAGATCTCAAAAAAGACTATGACTATGCATTTGTGTGGTGAATCACGCCTGTAACTCTCAGGGCGCTGCAGCAGCTTGGCACCCCACAGCACCCTCAAAAGGATCTCACAGAACCCTGGTTTGGAGCAGCAGTTCTCAGCTTCTTCAGACTTAAGGCACCTCTGGCTAGACTTAATGCACCCCTTGGTATGTGCCTCCTCTTAGTTTTCATTTGTTTTTTCTGGCCTTTATGAAAAATGGTAAGACCAGTTTGTTTTGCTGCAGAGAATTCAGAAAGATGACGACTATGGGTTTCTGCCTGAAACCTCAGGCTTCATCTGGCGAATCACACCTGTAATCCTGTCAGCACCAAGGCAGCCTGGCACCCTGAAGCACCCTCCAGCAGATCTCAGGGAACCTTGGTTTGGAGCAGTGGGTCTCAGCCTCTTCAGTCTTGATGCACCCCTCCATACAGGCCAGCTCTTCATTTTCATACTCCTTTTTCTGCGTTTAGAAAAAAAATGGTAAGAGCAGCGCATTCTGCGGTGGAGAACTCAGAACGACAACAACTCTGGCTTTCGGTCTGAAGTCTTGGCCTTGACCTGGCGACTCGCACGTGGAAGGAAGTCTCCGTCCTGGCGCCAAGGTGGCCAGGCACCTTCGGAAGTATCTCGAGGCAGCCCCAGGGCCGAGACCTCCTGGCCAAGGCTCCCAAGTCTGGAATCATTGCTTGACACAAGCGGGACCTGCTTTTTCCGGTGCTGCTTCCACCCGCAGTGCCAGCGGCCCAGAGCCTTCCCTCTTTTCTTTTTTTTGTTGAGATGTCTGACTGACGCGATACCCAGCCCTGCTGAAGGCCGTTACCCCTCAGGGCCGGGCCGGCAGGGAGCCAGGCTGCGCGGCTCCCTCCACTTCTGCCCGCTCCCAGGGTTTGGCCGGGCGCGGCAGGCGGGAGGCAGTGGGGGTTTCCCTCGTGGCGGCCACGTGGAGCCG